CGACAGTGTACTCATAAATAAAATAAATAAATCTTTAAAAAAAAAAATAAAAAAAAAATAAAAAACAGTTGTTCTCCACACTACTTCTAAGATAGAGTTCTTTTCATGCTTTTGTAGTTATTTTCCCCTCAAGAATATAAATTTACAAATTAAAAAGATTTCAACTTGATTTTGTATTCTGAATAGGTAAACATTTGCAATGGTACCTAACACCCCCAAGGAAATGGGAAAAAGCATATCTCTTCTCCTGGCGGCCCCCCTGAGCAGTGAGCACTGTCAGCACCTCTGACATTCCCACAGAGGCCAGGACACACTCGCAGGTCACTTCCTCCCAGACACCAGCACATATTATTTGGACTCATGTTTACACAGCACATCCCGGAGGCCACTCCCAGTTACTGCTCTACTGGGTGCTTGTTTCTGAATGCTTTCCTCTCATAGACAAATCAAACTTTAGTCTCTTGTTGTTAAAACATTTGATTATCTTCAACTATTTGCAAATTTTTAAAACTATGAAAAGATGGGGTTGGAGAGACATTTCAGCTGTTAAGAGCACTGGCTGCTCTTGCAGAAGACCCAGGTTCAACTTCCTAGAACATACGTGTCAGCTCACAATCTTCTGTAACTCTAGTTTCAGAGGGTCTGACAACCTGTTCTGGTCTCTGCAGGAACCAGGCACACACCTGGTGTACATATGTATAGGACAAAAATTCCATATGTACAAAATAAAAATAAATCTTTTTTAAAAATTCTGGAAAAAAAAGTATGCAAACAGGAAGCAAGTATTAGTCTGGGCCCAAGGACATCACTCTGACTGCAAAAGTGCAGAGAGTCTTCTCAAGCCAAGTCAAAGTACTGACTTTTTAAAAACAGCTCTTGTAGCAATCTGCATCACACAGAGAGACACTTCTAGCCTATGTAATATATGTGTATTTACAAATACACATGAAATTTATATGAAGGAAAGCATAGTCCTGACGGCACCATTATAAAATCTAATCTGATCTACTTATAAAAAGTACTGTGACTCTCTCAAATACATATCTTTTACATATGTTTAATATAGAAAAAAGACTTACCGTCCAAAATTTTATGAAATACTCTAAAACTGTTGCAGCCACAAAAAGACAATATAGCAGAGAATACAACAAAAACAGCATGAAGAATTTGTAATTAGTAAATCCCACACAGTTATTCACCCTGGAAGAATACAGAAAGCAATATTATTATAAAAATAAGACAAATCATAATCACAGAAACAGAAAGCAAAATGGGGTCTCAGGGCTTGTGGGAGAAGGGTGGGTCTGCCTCATGAAACAGCTCAGCTCTGTAATATGTGAAAATTCTAGCAGCGGTACAAAAGTAGGAATATACCTAACATTACTAATCTTATAGAGACGGTTAAGACAGTGAATTAATATATGCCTTTTAGTCATAAGAAGGAAAAAGAACACCAGAAAGTTTTACATCATCATTACTCAGCAATAGGTCAAGTGAGAAGTAAAAAACAAACAGTATCATAACTATGGATGTGTTTTTAATTAACATTATATAGATTTTGCAACTCTAATATTAATTTTTAATATATCAACATCTGGATTATGTATTTATCAGAAAATATTTGAAAGGAAAAATATACATATCCGTATGTATGTATGTATGTATATATGTGTATATATATGTGTGTGTGTGTGTATGTAATTTAATCGACCTCAAATATAAATAATTGAACTGAATCAAATATAAGAATATTAGAGATGGGATTTTAGTCGTAGAGAGTGCATGCTTAGAATGTGTTGGGACTCTGGATTTAAAGAACAGCACCATGAGATAAAAAAAAAAAAAAAAAAGTTTCTAAAAAAAAAAAAAATTCTCAATTTCCTGCTTCTGATGCCCAACCCTGATCCCCTTGGCTTAGGCAACTTCCACTATTTTTTATACATACCATGGACAGTGATGATCCATCTTAAGAACACATCTAGGAAGCAAGCATAAGATTCATACAGAAAAATTGTGACTCTAGTTTCTCATTATTTTACTGAACTTAAAAATATCCCCTTAAAACTAAATCCTATAAAGTGACCTAGAAACATCAGGTAACTTGGGATATTCTGTAAGGACTTTCATGGGTAAACAGTTACAAGGATTTTCCATTGTGAAGTCAATTAATCGCATCTAGCTCACTGGACCAGATCAGATGACATCTTATTATTCAGATGTGGGGATGACTTTTGGTACATTAGAAAGGCCTAATTTAAACATCAGCTAAGAGTTGGAGAGATGGCTCAGTGGTTAAGAGCACTGACTGCTCTTCCAGAGGTCTAGAGTTCAAATCACAGCAACCACATGGTGGCTCACAACCATCTGTAATGGGATCTGATACTCTCTTCTGGTGTGTCTGAAGACAGTGACAGGGTACTCACGTACATAAAATAAATAATTCTTGAAAAGGAGAGAAACAGCCAGGCAGTGGTGGCACACACCTTTAATCCTAGCACTTGGGAGGCAGACGCAGGAGGATTTCTGAGTTCGAGGCCAGCCTGGTCTACAGAGTGAGTTCCAGGACAGCCAGGGCTATAAAGAGAAACCCCATCTCAAAACAACAACAACAAACAACAACAAAAAGAAAAAAAGAAAAAAAAAAGAAAAAAAGAAAAGGAGAGAAACAGATGGCCTCTAGCATTATGCGCATGTGCAGATCAACAGTGCTAATCCTTGGAAGTGAGCACCAAGACACTAAAACCTGGACTGAGACAGTTATGTTCCTGTAGTCTTTTTTTTTTTTTTAAAGATTTATTTATTTAACATGAGTGCTCTATCTGCATATACACCTGCATGCCAGAAGAAGGCATCAGATCCCACTACAGACAGTTGTGGGCCACCATGTGGTTGCTGGGAATTGAACTCAGAGAACTCTGGAACAGCAGCCAGTATTCTTAACTACTGAGCCATCCATTCTGTAACATAAGGTTTCCTCATGGTGATCACTACTATACTGTTGCCACAAAGAACCAAAGCAAAACCAAACTTTCCTCCCTCTAGAGTACTTATTTTATACATGTAGAAACTGAGACTACAGATCTTCTAAATAAAGTAAGAATGAGAAACCTAACACCCAGAAAGTTGTACAGCTTATCTAATTGGCTTGGATTAGTCGGAGTTTTAAACTAACTTCTCACATGAAAGCAAGGATTAAAATGGAAGTGATGGCAGCTAAAAACATAGTATTTAAGCATTGATTTTTTTGTTTTAATATCAACATTGACAATAAAAACAAGAAAATATTATAGTCTCTAATCCAAGAAGTAACCCATCATATTTTACAAGGAGGTTTTGACTGTTGGCTCATTAACATTACATTAAGCATAGTACAGAAAGCATATCTAAAGTTAAAATTCTATTCAACTAGCAGAGAAACTTTTCTAGTATATTCTAGCTTACATAATCATTTGATGGTTCTACATCCACAGCAAATAATAGGAAAAGATGAAATGGTTTTGCTAAATATGGAGAAGCATATAATGTCTAGCTGTCACCAAGTTCCAGGTTAGGGCTAAAGGAAAGCAAACTGAGTTAATACTCACCTGTCACATGCTGAGCAGTGATGGGCCCGGTCAGGTTTAATCAACTGACATTTTTCACAGTATCGGATAGCTAGAGAGAGAAAAAAGAAGAAACTCAAAAGGTGTGCGTGGTGTTTTGAATAAAAATGGCCTCCAAAGGTCCACAAGAGAGTGGCATTATTAGGAGGTATGGCCTTGTTGGAGTAGGTGTGGCTTTGTTGGAGGAAGTTTGTCACTAGAGGGTGAGGTCTGAGGTTTCATAAGCTCAAAACCAGGCCTAGTGGCTCATTTATTACTGCTGCCTGTGGATCAAGATGTAGAACTGTCAGCTCCTTCTCCAGCATCATGTCTGCCTGTATGATGCCATGCTTCCTACCATGATGATAATGGACTAAACCTTTCAAACTGAAAACTAGCCCCAATGAAATGTCCTTTGTAAAAGTTGCTGTGGTCACGGTGTTTCTTCACAGCAATAGAACCCTGACTAAGGCACTGTGCAAGCTTAACTGACTTATAAAGCTTGGTTTTCGCAATATATTCTGGAAACTGACAGTGATTAATTTAAAAATACCAGAGTACACCAGAGAGCTTCTCAAAATGTCAAGAGAAAGGGGACTTCATAATGTATCCTCTCAGAAGTTTTCAAACTAAATAAAGTAGATACAAAGAAAGTAAGAGACTCGCAGAAAGCCAAATGCCAAGATTAATAACAGAAATAGGTCAGAACTCCAGTCCAGAGTCCCAAGCCCAATATTTGTTGATATAGCACAGTGTCTATAACAGCTAATCAATGTACTTAGAGGCATCTTAAAGCATTCTGGTTTTAAAGTTTTCAAACAGCTTTATTTAAAGATGCTCTAAATACCTTTTGTCTGCATCTATCCCTACCCTAGACCAATGACAATTCACTTTTGGAATAACAACAAAAACTTCTTTCTAAATAAATTCAAATACATGTTACACTATTACTTAGTTCAAAAGACACTGATCACCTACTATGTGCCAGGTATTCTCAACAAAAATCCCTGCTTTGTGAAGCTCATACACTCTCTATTCTAGGGACTAGCAAAGTCAAATAAATAGCACATTAGACAATGACATCAGACAGTAAGGACCATAGTCTAACTTTACAACATCTAAGAAAACAAGGGTTAAGAGACTGAGGATGTAGCTCAGATGGCACAGTGCCAGCCTAGGATTCATGCACAAAGCCCTAGATTTGAAGCCCGTCACTACATGTACAAGACACATACTTCTTTGTTCTAGCCTAATGTCAGATTCCTGTCTGAAGCCTACTTCCTTGTCCTTGGCCAATGTCATATTCCTGCCAAGCAGCCCATTTCCTTATCCTCGGCCCATGTCAGATTCTTGACAAGCAGCCCCAAAGCCTCTCCAACTCTCCCCTAACTGGACCTACATAATTATACTATCTTTAAAAAAAAATCTATGAACAAACTTGACAACTATATACTGCCCAAATTTTGCACAGCTTGGGAATTCATGAACCCATTGAAAGTATGGATCACGGTTTAAAACATCTAATATATAGAACTACAATCACTATTATAAACCAGTTATTTCAAAATTCTATATAAAGACTTTTAAATGACCTGTTGGAAATGAGGTTGCTGAAATGTCATTATATACTGAGCTGCACACCCAGGTGTTTTAGACCTCATATTATTTAGTATTTTTAAAAATATTTTTAGCGACTCAGGGACATAGACAATTATTCTCATATTGAAATGAAGAAACTGCAACAGGACAGGAGGCAGGGGAGGGAAGGGGGTCCTCTCATCCTTGCTAGCTACAAATGAAGAAAACCTTGCAAATAATAGTATGAACCATGTTTGCAGTCAAAAAATGCATGCTCTGACCTTGGCATGACCTATGTACAGTAAGAGTTTCTTTGGCTTTCTGACCTGTTTTTAATCTCTTTAGTCTGAAATCTGTACAAGATATCTCATAAATCACATAGTGGTCTCATTCATATACATTATAAATGAATATATACATTCAATATACCAAAAGACCTTTAATCAAAGTTTTTAACAATATAATCTCAAAACCTAGCTACTGTTTTTTTGGTTTTTCGAGACAGGGTTTCTCTGTGTAGCCCTGGCTGTCCTGGAACTCACTCTGTAGACCAGGCTGGCCTCAAACTCAGAAATCCGCCTGCCTCTGCCTCCCAAGTGCTGGGACTAAAGGCGTGCGCCACCTCCGCCCGGCAAAGCCTAGCTATTGTTAAGACACAGAAAAGTAACCTGTTGCTGAGAAGTAACCCAGAGTGGCCTCTGTGTGCACAAGTATCCTAACCCTGCTCCAGCCTAGCATTAGTGTGTCTCTATAGAAAGTTTTAAGAGATTATTTTTAATTATGTGTAATGTGTGTTTGCATGAGTATATGCATGGGGGTACAGATGTCTATGGTGGTCAGAAGAGGACACTGGTTTCCCCTGGAGATAGTTACAGGTGGTTATAAGTCACATAATATGGATAATGAGAAATAAACCCATAGGTCCTCAACAAACACAGCAGGAACACAACCCATCCTTGACCTTCTCTACAGCCCCATGAAACTTTTCTTAATAAACTCCAACTCTGCTTCATCCTGACTCATCCTGAAATTCTATGCATAACTCACAAATCCCGGCTTGACCTTGAGGCCTCTGAAAGAACTCTTCAGATTGTACTGCAGGCGGCATCAAACTGTGACTTCTGTGCCTATTGAGGTAACTTGGGCTTCTAATGTTTAAATGACTTGCACAGCACTAGTAAAAAAAAAACCTGAAGTTTTTATCTGCAAGAGATGTTTTTATTTTGTACTGTAATATGCTACTTAGTTGTATTGGTTATCATGTGTTGCCTGTGTGTGGCATGGAATGAGTGTTATACACACTTGTGTGGAGGCCAGGACAAAGTCTTCCATTGCCTTAACATGGGATCTCATCCTGAGCAGGAAGCTTGCTTTTTTGGCTAGGCTGGCTGGGTAGTGCTCACAAGAAGTACCTGTCCTCACCCTGCAGTGTTACAGGCACACACTGCAATGCTGGGATTTTTATGTGGGTGTCAAGAGATTCAAACTCAGGTCCTCATGCCAAGCACTCTTACCCACTGAGCCATGTCTCCAACCTACCATCTATTTTCCATCTTTAAAATCCCATTATACTCCTTAAAATATTGCAGATAATTAAAACTTTCCTCTTTTCCATTTTGTTTTTTAAGACAGCCTAACTATGTAATAATGTAACTCACTATGTAAGACCAGGATAGCCTCAAACTCACATACACTGCCTGCTGGGATTAAAGGTGTGAACCACTTTACTCAGTTTAAAATCTTGAGTTAGGATTTATACACAGCCACAAAGGTAAGCTCCCTGATTGTGTGCTCTGTCCCTGAGAAGCTCATTGGGTTCCAAAATTAGAGTACTTGAATTCAATTCCTGTTTCTTCACATACAGCCTTATAATGATCCTGAACAAGTAATTCAGTCTGTGTTGGTAGGGATCCAATTTGACCTTATCTACTGCCATCCCGCGTCACAGTACAAGGACTCCCCCAGAGGGATCACAGTTGATTTTCCTGCAGTCTGCCAGCATGCTATAAATGGATCAACCACGTATATGTCTATAACTGCATGCAAATGTCTGTAATATGCCTGACTCCATCCCAGCATTCCAGTGGCCAAGGCAGGAGGATCTGAGTTCAAGGCCAACCCGTGCTTCTGTCAGGAAGTCTGACAATAACTCCCAACCTATGTTCTGGTTTCTCTGCTGCTTTTCACTGGTCTCACAGCTTCCTGGGCTTATTCCATGGGGTTATTGTGAGTTTCATTAAGTTCTGTACAACTCAGCACAAAGGAACCATTAAGCTGCTACTATCTTGTCTGAACCAATTAACAAGGTATAAAATTTAAACAATTCCCTCCAGTAAAGTGACTGGATCCAGCTCAGTGATCCTCCAGCTCAGCACCTCTGACTCCTCTCTATCAAAGAGTTAAACAACAAGCAAAGGAAATGATGTCTCAGTTGACCCTTAGCAGTGTCCCAGAGGAAACACGCAGGCTAGAACCAGGAAAATGAATTGGGCTTGTTATGATTGCTATTGCTGTAATGAAGCACCTGATCAACCCAACTCCAGAAGGAAAGAATTTGGATTACACTTCTACATCGTAGTCCACTGAAGAATATCAGGGCAGGAACTCAAGTACAGCTGGAACCTGGAGGCACGGACTGATGCAGAGGCCATGGAGGGGTGCTGCTTACTGGCTTGCTCCACCTGCTTTTTTATAGAACTCTGGACCACCAAGCCTAGGGATGGAACCACCCATAATGGGCTGTGCCCTCCCCCATCACTAATTAAGAAAATGCTCCACAGGCTTGCCTGATCTCATTTTCTCAGTTGAAGTTCCCTCCTCTCTGATGATTCTAGTTTGTGTTATATTGACATAAAACTGACCAGCACAGAGTTCATAGTTTGGCCTCCAAAATCATATGTTGGTAAATTTTCTCCTCATTGTCTTTACTTCTCCCCATATTTCACACATTCTTGATTTCTTTTATTCAGTGACATAGAGTAGTTAAATTTAAACCAGAACTTTCAAATCATAGTGTAGTAGAAACAGGATTTGAAAGCTCTAGCCAAGAAGGCTGAGTGTTTGGGTGAAAACAGGCAACAAGACAAACTAAACCCAAATTCACATTGAACCCCTCTGAGAAGTTGCATTACATCTGAAATACCACACAAGATGCAGTAAACAGGAAACTGTGATCAGTCAAATCAAGCAGATCTATTCTAACAGAGACACACGCACACTGAAAACTCCTTTGCAAAGTCCAGCCTGCTTCTCTTACCTTTTGAAGCTGATGTGGTGTAGATAGGCAAGTCTCTTGCTGCTCTTCTCAAAATGTCTTGCTGTCTTTCTTGGCTGAACTCCTTCTCATAACGTTCCTTCTCAGAGTTTGACAAATAGAACTAGGTGGAGAGAGACAATGCTACATTTGTACTTTTTAGCTAGTGTGCTAAGAAAGGTTTTACCTGAAATAGGGGGAGGATCCCCAAATACTGTGCTTCATGAAAGCAAAACTCATTTCCAATTTAACTTCGTGTACATTTTAACAAAAACTGCACAGATTAAAAGTGTTAGTACTTCCTACTAAAGATGGCTTAGGACAGGAATTCCATTATTTTTGCACCTTTGCCTTTTACAGGTGAAATTTAAATCCTTAATAAATCACTCAGTTAAAAAAAAATGTTGAAGCCGGGCGGTGGTGGCGCACGCCTTTAATCCCAGCACTCGGGAGGCAGAGGAAGGCGGATTTCTGAGTTCGAGGCCAGCAGAGTTCGAGGTCTACAGAGTGAGTTCCAGGACAGCCAGGGCTACACAGAGAAACTCTGTCTCGAAAAATCAAAAAAAAAAAAAAAAAAAAAAAAAAGTTGAGGGCTGAGAAATATGGCTTAGTAGTAGAATGATTGCCTACTGACACCAATTTTTTTTAACAATTATATAAGCAAAATTAAAGTAAATAAGCAACTGTGTATATAAATAAGTACATATAACTAAGTAAATATAAAACATTTATAAGTAAATATAAGTAAATGTAAAAGTTACTGCCAAGTGTCTTTCTTCTCTACTTGTATGTTTGTGTACAAACATATGTATGCTAATATATATGATACATATGTATATGTATGGTATGTGCTCAAGGTGGGGTGTATGCACATGTGTGCTAAGGCTCTGTGTGTGTGTGGGGGGGTGTGCACGTGTGCAGAGGACAGAGATCAGTGTTAAGTGTTTTTCTCAATCACTTTCCACTCTATTTTTTGAGCCAGAGTCTCTTACTGGAGTCAGAGCCCATTGTTTTTGATAGGATGGCTAGCCAATAAGCTTTCATGAATCAGGAGCCTGTCTGCTGCACCAGTGCTGGGGATACAAATGTGATATGTTCAGCTTATAGGCTAAGGATCTGAATTCAGGTTTTGACAACAAGCACTTACCAGCTGAACCTTCCCCCCAGGCTGCTTTTCCTTCTCTGTTCCTTTGTTTCTCTATGTAGCCATGGCTGTCCTGGAATTGGATCTGCAGAACAAGCTAGCCTTGAACTCCTGCTTCTGCCTGCCGTGTGCTGAGACTGTAGGCATGTAGCACCGTGTCCAGTTCCCTCCACTCTTAAGATTCTTTTCACCTGTTCTTCCCACAGTGTTCCTGAGCCATAGAGGGAGTGATACAGATGCCCCTATTTAGGGCTGAGCACTCAATAAATTATTTCTTCTCAGTATTTTGACCAGTTATGAGTCTTTGCTACCACCATATACAAAAAGCAGCTTCTCTGACAGAGCTAAGTTCTAGAGAGTTTAATTTTTACAAGGAAAGCCAAAAGGCTGCTATGCTCGAGTTGTAGTGAAACTCCTGGTAAGGAGTCCCATGTTTGTTTTTCCAAATGCCACAATGAAATAAAAAAGTTATTGCTCACACTTTTCATTGTTTTAAATTTATTTTTTCTTTTAATTATGTGTAGGTGTGTGCCTACATGTGGGTGAATGCATGTTAGTGTAGTACTAGCAGAAGCCAGAAACATTGCATCCTCTGGGGCTAGATTATAGACTCTTGAGACATCATCTGTCATAGGTTCTCAGTACCAAACTCAGGTCTTCTGGAAGAGCACTAAGTGCTCTTATCTGCTCAGTCATCTCTCCAGCCCCATTGTTTTTTTTTTTTTTTTTTTTTTCATTTTTAAAAAGGCAATCAACTGTGCTATATTCTCTTCAGAGTCACCAAGGTTCATCAGCTTATCTGTCTCCGTTCCCCAATGAGATACTCCTTTCAAAGGTGTCTCTGACTCTAGATTTTTTTGTGGGTGGGGCACTTAAAAATAGTTTTTATAAAATACACTATCATATATTCTTGCTACTCTCAACTCCTATGTCCTCCCTCTTCAGTTCCCTACTGACTTCATGTCCTTTCTCTCAAAACAAACAAACAAACAAACAACCCAAAACCCCCAAAGCCAAAACTCAAAATAAACCCAAAAAGACCAAAAAAAAAAAATCAAAAGCCAAAACAACAAAATACCCCCCAAAAAATATGGAGTCCTTCCTCTAGTTTACTTCTTTTGCGACAGGATCTTGCTATGTATCCCAGGCTGGCCTGGAACCAGCTATGTAGCCCACACTGACCTTGAATGTATAATCCTCTTTCCTCTCCTCTCCCCATGCCACCAAGACACCAAATGGGTTCATTTCAGGTACATTTTCCTACCAAGTATGAATTTAGTTGATCTTTTTATGTCATCCCAAGGGCCTTCCCTCTTCCATGACTTCTTGTAACTAGGAATTTCTACATTTTTTAAAAAATCAAGTCTATTTGAGAGTTTTGCTTTTTAAAACTAAGAATAACTTAGACTTGTTTTTTAAATCATGTTTCATATTTTTAACAATAGTGACACTCCATTTTTACTTATTTGTGTTTCCTTTTTAAAAGGCCAAGGCCTCATTAACTAGAATTTCACAGAGGCCCAGTTAAGAACACTTGATCGTGCTAACTCAAACAGGGAACTGCCCCATCACTGCTAAGAGTGATGCACTACACATACTGTTATAAACAAGACAACAGTGTGGGCTCAGGAAACTATGATTGTGAGAGGTAGGAAAGTTTCACAGTATACATTACCGGCAAAGACAGATGGTCTGCATCCTCTGGAATCTTTTTCTATCGACCACTGAAGTAATTGCTCTAGCTTTTTACTCCTGCTGTCACTGCTTACCAAACCTCAACAACACAGTGCTTAAGAAGTAAGAACATTTTCCTAGGTTATGCAGCATAGCTTTCTCAAAATGAAGAGCAGAAAGAGCAGCCAGAGAAGATGCAAACAGTCGTATGGTTAAAGTACATAAACTTTCCTATGCACACTCTTAACACTTTCAGGAAGAGAAGTGAAATCTCATGGTATGATGTTCAGAGCCTCTGACCAGGTATCTGCAGCTCCTCTGGACTGATCCATCTAGCCTGCAGCAGTACTCCAGGCCTCAGCTTGACTGCACTTTTATCCATCATTACCTATTTTCCTTGAGAATTAAGGTCAAATGAAAACTTTCAGATACCAGGATATACAATGTTCAATACTACTGACTGTAATCCAAAATTATGAGATGCTGTTATTAGCTTAAATTCAGTGTTCAGAAAATTCCACTTAAATATGTAAATTAAATCAAGGATGGTTCTGCATGAATTTAGCATGCACAAAGTCTTGGGTTCAATCTCCAGCAGCAAAATGACTAAGAACAGATGCTTTTCCATCATTATTATTTTAAAGGGGTAGTTTTGCTATGTTGCTCAGGGTCATCTCAAACTCCTGCATTCAAGTATTCCTCCTGACCCAGTTGCCTGTGTACCCAAGATTACAAGCTCACTCAGAGTCTAACCATAAACATATATTAAATACCAATTAAGAAGCCAGGTGTAGGACACACCTTCAACACTCAGGAGGCAGACAGGCAGATCTCTGAGTTTGAGGGTAACCTGATCTATAGAGCAAATTCAGGGCAGCCAGAGCTACACAAAGAAACTCTGTCTCCCCAAACAAAACAACAGCAGTAACAACACATCAAAGCCCTTGATTGAGGAGGTAGCTAGTTCAGTGAGTAAGAACATCTACTGTTATTCTAAAGGACCTGAGTTTGGTTCCCAGCACCAGCAAGCCAGCTTACGACTACCTTTGAATCTAATTCCAGAAGATTCAGTACCCTTTTCTGAACCTTCACCAACACCAGACACAAGTGCAGTGCACAATCATACCTGCAGCCTAACACTCATACACATACAATAAAAATAATGAACAGCTAAGCACTGTTTCAAATGGCACAGATCTAAAGATGAATAAAAAGAAATCTTGCTTTCAAAACAAAGAATTATAAAATAAAAAATTACAGGCACTATCAGGTTGCTGGTACAGAAAAAACTTTCCCAGCAGTAGACTTTCTGCACTAAAATATCTGTTCCTGCCAGGCCAGGTGTGTCCACTGGTGCAGTAACAGCATGGCTGACAGATCTGATGCCCAGTCCACAGAGGGAATTCATTCCTAGTAGTAAATCTAGATAAATGCCCATGGCTCAAGGGTAGGGCAGTGATGATGACATACACCACCGCTATTACTGTGGTTTTGCCAAGCGGATGACACGGTGTCAAACTGCCTTATAAATACTTATGTCTTTACCCACACAGTAGAGCTGTACTCTCAGCCTTGGTCAGAAGCTTGTTTGCAATGGCTGATGGTTAATGCAGAGACTTATAATTGGACAAAGTACTAAGAATACATGACTGTTGACAGGTCAGCTCTAAACACAGCTCGGAAATCATTGTGGAGGTGGTGGGGGCAGAAAGAATGTACAAATAAAGGACAGGATGATGAAACACTGTTTTCTGAACATGAGATGGCCACTGTACTCAGGAGCTCATGATTACCTGTGCAAGACTGTATCAACATCCCATCGCAGACAGGCAAGAAGTTCATAAGGCCCTACCCCTAGTTGAGGAGATGGCACATAATGGCTACCAGGGATGGAAGAATCATTTTTCTTCAATGGTGTGGCTACTGGTAAGTTGCTCATACTCCAGTAAATATCCATATCCGTGTTCAGGCAGATCATCCTAATCCAACTCAGTGAGTCAATCAATCTCTCTCTCTCTCTCTCTCTCTCTCTCTCTCTCTCTCTCTCTCTCTCTCTC